AAATGAAGTTCAAAGAATAAAACAGCAATAAATACATACCTATCAATTATCACTTCAAATGTAAATGGCTTGAATGCTCCAATCAAAAGACACAGGGTAGCTGAATGGATATGAAAGCAAGACCCATCTATGTGCTGTCTACAAGAGACCCACCTCAGAAAGAAAGATACACACAGACTAAAAGTAAAGGAATGGAAAAAGATATTTCTTCCAAATAAAAAAAAGCTGGGGTTGCAATACTTATATCTTACAAAATAGACTTTAAAATAAAGCCTATAGTAAGAGACAAAGAAGGACACTACATAATGATAAATGCAGCAATCCAACAAAAGAATATATCTCTGGAAAATACTTATGCTCCCAACATAGGAGCACCTAAATATATAAAGCAAATTTTGATGGACAAAAAGGGAGAGATTGACAGTAACAAGTCACAGTAGGAGATTTTAATACCCCATTGATATCAATGGATAGATCTTTGAGACAGAAAATCAACAAGGAAACAGTGGCCCTAAAGACACATGAGATCAGATATATTTAATTGATATCTTCAGAGTGTTTCACCCCAAAGCAGCAGAATATACATTTTTTCCAAGTGCACATGAAATATTTTCTAAAATAGACCACATGTTAGGACACAAAACAAGTCTCAATAAATCTAAAAGGATTGAAATCATATCAGGCATCTTCTCTGACCATAATGGTATGAAATCAGAATTCAACCACCAGAAGAAAACTGAAAAACACACAAAGTCATGGAGGCTAAATAACATGTTCCTAAACAATAAATGAGTTAACAATGAGATTGAGGAAGAAATAAAAACTTACCTTGAAAGAAATGAAAATGAGAACACAACAATGCAAAATCTATGAGACACAGTGAAAGCAGTCCTAAGAGGGAAATTCATAGCATTATAGGCTACCTCAGGAAACAGAAAAAACTTTAAGTAAACAATCTAACTTTACATTTAAAGGAAAAAATGACAAACAAAGCCCAAAGTGAGTAGAAGGAAGAAAATTATAAAGATCACAGCAGAAATAAACAAAATAGAGCCTAAAAACACAATACAAAAAAATCAATTAAAAAAGAACTGATTATTTGAAAAGATAAACAAGATCGACAAACCTTTAACCAGACACATCAAGAAAAAAAGAGAGAGGACCCAAATAAATAAAATCAGAAATGGAAGAGGAGAAGTAACAACTGACATCACAGAAATACAAAGGACTGTAAGAAAACATTACAAACAACTATATGCCAAAGAATTGGACAATCTCAACAAAATGGATAAATTCTTAGAAAAATACAATTTTCTAAAACTGAATCAGGAAGAATCAGAGAATCTGAATAGACAGATTGCAACTAGTGTAACTGAAGCAGTAATAAAAAAAAAATCCCAGCACATAAAAGTTCTGGACCAGATGGCTGCACAGGTGAATTTTACCAAACATTCAAAGAAGAACTAACACCAATCCTTCTCAAACTATTTCAAAAAATTTAAGAGGAGGGAAAACTCCAAAGCTCATTTTACAAGACCAGCATTATCCTAATTCCAAAACCAGATAAAGACACTACCAAGGAAGAAAATTATAGTCCAGTATCCCTGATGAACATAAATGCTAAACTCCTCAGCAAAATATTAGCAAACTGGATCCAGCAATACATTAAAAATATCATTAGAGGGGATTAATGGGGGGGGGGGACATCTGCAATACTTTCAATAATAAAGATAAATAAATTTTAAAAAGATCATAGACCGTAATCAAGTAGGATTTATTCCAGGGATGCAAGGTTGGTACAATATTCACAAATCAGTAACTGTGCTACACCACATAAACAAAATGAAGAATAAAAACCACTTGATCATATAAGTAGATGCAGAAAAAGCATATGATAAAATCCAGCACCTATTTATGATAAGAACTCTCAGGAAAGTGGAAATAGATGGAACAAACCTCAACATAATAAAGGCCATTTATGACAAATCCACAACCAACATCATACTCAATGGTCAAAAACTAAAAGTGTTTCCCTTAAGATCAGGAACAAGAGGGGGATGCCTGCTTTCACTACTTATTCAACATAGTACTGGATTTCCCAGAAACAGCAATTAGACAAGAAGAGGAAATAAAAGGCATCCAAATTGGGGAAAAAAGAAGTAAAACTGTCATTATTCGCAGATGACATGATATTGCACACAGAAAACCCTAAAGACTCCACTGAAAAGCTGCTAGGACTAATAAATGAATTTGACAAAGTAGCAGGATACAAAATTAGCACCCAGAAATTGGTGGCATTCTCTACACCAACAATGATCTATCAGAAAGAGAAACTAAGACAGCAATACAGGTCAAGGTGGTGGCATAGGTAAACACAGTACTCGCCTCCTCCCACAGCCGCATCAACATTACAGCTAAATTATAGAACAACCATCATTCAGAACCACCTGAAATTTGGCTAAACAGGAGTCCTGCAACTAAAGAATTAAAGAAGAAGCCCCATTGAGATTGGAAGGAGGGGCAGAGGCGCTGAACGGGTTGGTCCAACACCCATGAGTGGCATTTTATTTAATGTCTTGGCTATGGAGGTCTCCCTTGAGGAGCAAGGGGTCCCAGCCCCACACCAGACCCCTCATCCCAGGGTTCCAGTGCCAGGAAAAGAAGTCCTGATAACTTCAGGATGTAAAGACCAGCAGGGCCTTGGCTGGTTTGGCTCAGTGGTTAGAGCGTCGACCTGAGGACTGAAGGTCCCAGGTTCAGTTCCGAACAAGGGCATGTACCCCAGTTGCGGGCTTAATCCCTGGCCCTGGTTGGGGTGGGTGCAGGAGGCAACCAATCCATGTGTCTCTCTCACATCGATGTCTGTCTCTCTGTCTGTCTCTCTCTCCCTTCCACTCTCTTGGAAAGCAATGAAAAAAATATTAATAATAAAATAATAATTTAAAAAGGTATGAAAGCAACTTAAGTGTCCACTGATCAACAATCGGATAAAGAAGTGGTGCATATATATGCAGTGGAATAGTACTCAACCATAAAAAAGAAAACCTTACCATTTGTGACAACATGGATGGACTTACAGGGTATCGTACTAAGTGAAATAAGTCAGACATAGAAAAATACCGTATGGTTTCACTTATATGTGTGGCATCTAAAAAACAAAATAAATGCAATAAAACAGAAACAATCTCATAAATCCAGAGAACAATTTGATGTTTGCCAGGTGGGAGGCGTCTCAGGGGGCTGGGTAAAAAAGGTGAAGGGATTAAGAAGTACAAATTGCCTGTTACAAAAACAGTCAAGGGAATGCAAAGTACAGCATGGGGAATATAGTCAATAGTATTGTAATAACTATGTATGGTGGCAGGTGGTACTATACTTATGGGGGCGATCACTTTGTAGGGAATATAAATATCTAATCATTACATTATACACCTGAAAACTAATATGGTATTATATGTCAACTGTAATTTAAATTTTTTAAAATTATAATAAGATTCATATAAGCATATGATGACCAATTTTAAGCTTAGGACTTCGAAATTTGATGAGAAAAATGTGTTACAAAGCTGACAAAATTAAACAGGAAATGTGAATACTCTATAGCTGCAAACGCATTTGCACACATATGTAAAAAATTCTTTACAACATCACCTCAACCCCCATAGCTTCACCAGAAAACTCCACCAAGTGTTATTAGAAATAAGATCAACCATACACAAACTCTTCAAGAGAGTAATGAAAGTCCCAAGGCTGGGTCACTGAGGAGCGCTGGCATTTTAGGTGTGCCCAAGAAAGGGTCCTGTTAGATGGTGGAAAAGTGGCTGTGACCCAGGATGCAAACAGCAGAGTGTGGCGTCAGAAGGAGGAAGGAGCGATTTCAGGAGGGGGATGTTGAGCGGTATTTGCGAGCGCTGGAGATACAGCGATTGAGATTAAGACTGAACATTGTCTGTAGTGGTTGCCTTTGGGGAGAGGCATTCAACAACTTTTTAACATGACCCATGGATAGAAATATATTTCATACCATGGTTTAGTACAAACATATACAATCAAATAACTGTTTCATCGGGAAGGACAAGAGCCTTATGATTTCACTCATATGTGGGATATAAAACAAAAAAGCAACAAACAATCAACTGACAGACACAGATGAAATAATGGTGCTCATCAGCACAGAGGGGGATGAAGCTGGTAAAGGGGGTCAAATGTATGGTGACGAAGGGACACTAGGTTTTGGGTGGTGAGCACACAGTGTAGTATACAGATGAATTATAGAACTGCAAACTTGAAACATATAATGTTGTTAACCAAGTTACCTCAACAAATTTAATTAGGAGAATTGTTTCACATGACAATTTTAGGTGCCATGCACTATGATGCTTTTTAAGTATGTTATTCTGTTATGGTCATGATGATATTGGAAAAAATACATTTATTTCTTGCCCATCAGGTACACCCAGTGGAGCTGAGAGGCTGGAAAATGCAAATTTCCAAATTACATGGCTAGGCAATTCTTTGAAGAAGTCTGACTGTCAGGTGAGACGACGGTTGAAGCAAAGCAATGAGAAAAGTGAGTTTCCTTCAGCTGTGCCTGTCCCAAAGGACTAAACATTGTTATTTATAGTTGCCCACTTTAAAGTAATCACCTGACCTAGATACTAAGTCAAACAGAGTAAATGCATGAGCAAAAAAGATACACTTAACACTGGCTAATATTAAAAATAGCCCTATTTAAAAATAACAATATAGAAATTAAAATCAGTAGAATTTTAATTAATTGTTTCCTATAGAAGAGTACAAAGTGTTGCTTGAAAGAAATTATACATAGATACTGTTATAATACAAAGAATAATAAATTCAGTTTTGTGAGACAAAAAATGAAGCACTAAGACATCTGTATGAAGACTCCAATCCTGATGGAGTACCAAAATCTCAGCTAATTTGGATATTTAAGTTTATAACTTCCCTAGTCTAACAAATATTGTGAAGCAATGACTTACTTTTCTGACTTTGACCTTGATTTTCTTTCTCTAATGTAGTCATTTCCTTCCTGCAAGGAAAAGAGATAACATGAGACACTCCAGTTTTCTGAAGCTGAAATTGCACTTGAAAGAAATGTTTCATTGCTCTCAACCTAAAGTCATCACTAGATTGACAATTTAAAAATTAAATAAAATTAAAAGCCTGCTTACCCTGTGGTGTTTTTAAAAAAATATATGTTTTTATTGATTTTTTTAGAGAGAGAGAGAGAGGAAGGCAGAGGGAGAGAGAGAGAAAAACATCAATGAGAGAGAAACATGCTTGGCTGCCTCCTGCACGCCCCCTACTGGGGGTGGGGTCAAAACACGGGCCTGTGCCTGGACCGGGAATTGAACCTCTTGGCGTTTGGGACGGTGCTCAACCAACTGAGCCGCACCAGAGGGACACGCTTACCCTGTTTTTTTCCCCATTCTGAAAAAAACCATGAAATATAGCTGATGACACTGTATTGTATAATATAAATTGGCTGAGAGTAGAACTTAAATGCTCTCAACAAAACAAACAAAAAACCAAAAAAGGTAAATATGTGAGGTAATGAACGTGTTATTTAACTCAGTGGAGGGGATCTTTCCCAGGGTATACACATAGCAAATCACAATGTACACTTTAAATATCTTTTTCCTTTTTTTTTTTTTTTTTTTTTTTTTGGTAGTGTAACCATTTGTAGTTCTATGATCTGTCACAGTGCTTTATATATATATTTTTTATTAAAAAATTTTTATGTTGACATTATAGCAGGTGTCCCCCCTTTGCACCCCTTTGCCCACCTCCACCCACACCGCCTGCCCCTCCCTTGGCCTTCACCACACTGTCGTCCGTGTCCCTGGGGTCATGAGTGTATGTTCTTTAGCTGATCCCATCACCACCCCCTCCCCTCGGGCACCGGCCACTCTGTTCCATGTGTCCATGTGTCTGGGCCATTTTGTTCATCAGTTTATTTTGTTCATTGGATTCCACATATTTGGAACAATTCAAGGAGACTACAGAAAGTCAGTTTATTTCCCTGCTGCTCTTCGTCGCGGATTATATATCCTTAAAGGTAACTGAGGAGGTCCTAGAGATTCTCAGGCAAATTCACAGGGGCGGGTACTAATCAGTGTGGCCTGGTGGTGGCAGAAATAGAGATTTTCTCTACAGACATGACTCCCCACCACAGCAAAGAGGGGCCAGAGGGGGTGGGGTTGCCAACTCCACCTTTTGTTCCTCTCTCCCAGGCTCCTAAACTTGGTGGTAACATGGAGGTGACAAAGGACACCGCCTTAATGACCTGCTGTGCCCAGGGCAGGGGGAAGAGCGTGTCTGGTGAGGAAGCCATTTGAGACAACACCAAAATCCAGATAAAATCCTGCATCCTAGCGTTTTCTCCTCTGCACTCTCTCCAAACAAGCGCACTGAGGCTCACACACACCATCTCATCTCCCAAATGACCTGCTTCCACTTGAAGTCCTCAGGACAAAGCTGCAAACGTGAGCTGGAGAGCAGAAGTGACACAGAAAAGCAGATACACTTTGTGAAGGGCGAAGAAGCAGTGGTTCTCTGTCAATTAGTTCCTAAGACTGCCTGGAAGTGGGCCAGCATGAGCCAGGCAGGCAAGGAAAGAAATGGTCAACCCGTCAGAGGGATTAAAACAGCAGTAAAACCATCAAACATTTAAATCCGTTCTTTTAAACGCAAAGCAACAGCGTGTTCGAAATGAAAATTAAGAGGTAGAAACCGAGGAGGAGGAGTGGTTAGAGAAGGGATTTGATGGAAAAGAGGCCTAATATACACAGAATTGTCTTTCCTGCGGAAGAGATGCAAAAAATGAAATAAAGCGTCCAATGATATAATAAGGAAAACTCCTGAAATAAAGTCTTGTGTCCGAAAAATTGATTTTACAGAAAAAAAATCACATGAAGCAATGAGAGACATAGTAGCTTCTGAACTTCGAGAATAAATAATGAACCCTAGAACATCCACTGGGAAAACATATGAAAAACCAAGTCATCAAAAAGGTGAGCTTGGCCCTGGTCAGTTTAGCTCAGTGGTTAGAGCGTCAGCCCGCAGGCTGAAAGGTCCCGGGTTCGATTCTGCCAAGGACACGTACCTTGGTTGCAGGCTCGATCCCCGGCCCAGGATGAGGCGCATGCAGGAGGCGACCAGTCAATGTCTCTCTCTCTCTCTCACATCGATGTTTCTCTCTCTCCCTCCCCCCTTCCACTCTTTCTGAAAAGCAATGGAAAAAATATCCTCGAGTGAGAATTAAAAAAAAAAAGGTGAGCTTAAGGTGGCCCAGCCTCCAAGTCGTGAGAAAACAGAAATGATCCCAGAGCTGTAATCCCCTCCAAGCAAAGAAAACGTATTGTCAGACACCTTAGTACTCACAGGATGTAAAAACTATTAGTTCTTTAGGGGGGGAAAGATGAACGCAGAGCCACACTTGAACTTTCTAAAACGCAAAGTCCCTTTACAGAGGAGGTGGTGAAGGGTGAAGCCAGCCGCCTGGGCCAGAGGTCCCTGCCCCGAGGGTCCGGCTGTGAAATCCAATCCTGCCTAAGTCTAGGCTGTGAGTCTCCCCACCTACTGCTCACTGCCTGCTCTGGCTTAAATGCGGTGGGACAGTTCCCGGGCCCGCGCCTCGCCGTAACCTCCTGGCGGTGAAAATCTCTCTGCTATTCTTTATGTTTTATTTTAATTGACCTTTTGTGATAGACAAAATTTTGCTCCCCCCCTCCCCCGCCAAAAAAAATATATCATATGCCGAAGTCCTAATCCCCAGGGCCTTAAAATGAGACCGTCTTTGGAGACAGTCTTTACAGAGGTAATGAAGTTGAAGTGCGGTCGCTGGGGTGGCCCTAATCCAGTTCCAGCAGTGTCCTTACAGGAGAGGCGGTTTGGAGGCGGAGAGGCACAGGGGGAGGCGACGTGGAGACCGGGAGAGGACAGGCGTCTGCGAGCCAGAGACGACGCCTCGGAAGGAACCCAGGGCGCCCGCACTTGATCTTGGACTTAGGGCCCCCAGGGCTGTGAGGAAAGGAACTGACGTTGTTCAAGCCCCCGGTTTGCGGTGCTTCGCTATGGCAGCCTGAGCGAGGTAACGCAGCTCCACACTAAGTGTTAGTCCTGCTGTGCCCTCAGGCCCTTGTCTCCCCACGGGGCCGCCCCGCGCCCCAGCAGGTGAAGACTTACTAGCTCCCCCCTCTCGGGTGGGAGCCCCCCAGCTGCCCTGAAGTGTTTCGCACCAACGGGAACCGGTTAGGATCCGTGTAAAGCAAAGAAAAAGGAAAGGTTGATATTAACTCAAACAAAAGAGTGGTAATTTCTCGCAGCCAATAACAGAAAGTAAGAGAACTAGCATGCAGAATATCTGAAAGACATAACTGACCATTTCCTTAATACATAAATTTCAAAATTATGAACCTTAAGCAAAAAAGTATACAGTAAGTTTCAAAACCTATGGGGCGCGATGAACGTGAGGCTTAGCTCATATTTACCGAGGGCTGGTTCCAGCCGGCGTTGTGCTGATGAATAGACATGGACTTTTCCAAATGTTATTTCACAACCGCAATCTTAAGTTATAGGATTAAAAATTTTTAAGTAACTTGTCTCAAAGTTGATGCATAATATACGATAAAGAACTGTGATAGCCCGGCCCACGTGGCTCAGCGGTTGAGCTTCAACCTGGGATCCAGGTGATCAGGGTTCGATTCCCGGTCAGGGCACATGCCCGGGTTGCGGGCTCGATCAGTGACTCTCTCATCATTGATGTTTCTATCTCCCTCTCCCCCTCTCCTTTCTTTTCTCTAAAATCAATAAAGATATATTAAAAAAAACACACAACTGTGATAAAATCCACAAAAAAGAAATAACAGATATTGCTAATAAGGCAATAAAATTATAACTTACTATTAAAAATATAAAACAATGCTTGAAATTAAAAACTCAGATCCAAGAAGAAATAAAAAACAAAGTAATAAAATATTGGGTAATAATAGCATTTCCTTTAACAAAATGTGGGGTACAGAAAAAGGAAAGGTGGTAGTCTTACACTCCCCCGTTACCAAACAAGAAAAACTGAAAACATAAAAATTAAGTTTGAATTCAAGACAATTAAAATAGCAACAATTTCAAAAACGAAGGAAAGCAAAAATAAGAATCCATTAAGGATAAAAGCAACAATGTGTGACATCCTGGAAAACAGCAGGACGGAAACCAGCTCAGTGGACTAAGGTGGTGCTGGTGAGGGGAGAGGTAATGAAAATATTCTACCTCTAGACTGAGGTGGTGGATACATGACTATGTTTTTCTAAACTTACCAAAGGATTTACCTAAAAGGGGTGAATTTTACCGTATTATCCTTCTGTAAACCTAAACTTTACACCTTAGGCACACGCAATTCTGCATTTAGTTATTGTCTGTTTGCAATAAAGACTTGCTTGTATTTGAAAAGGCTGACACTTCAGTTCCTTAGGGGGAAGGGTGAGGGAGCTGGTGTGGATCTCACTTCAGGTGAGAGGAAGGGGAGCCTCCGTCAAGCTACTAGATCTATGCAGACCTGACCGGTGGCAGCCTGAGGGAGAGCCCTGGTTCAGTGACATTACCAGGTATTTTATCTCCTCGCCAGCTACAAGCTGCAGCCCAGGCACAGCCACTCCGCCCTCTATCTTTCCCTTTGCACAGAGACAGTGTAGGTGAAACACTTAGGAAAAGGCCCATTCCCACAAACATCACATCACATCACATCACATCACATCACATCACATCACATCACATCACATCACATCACATCACCAACTAACACCTGGCCTTCCCCTTGACCCCCATCTCTTCTCACTCTGTAAAAGAAGAAAGGACCATCTCAGGAGCAGAAACCCAGACCTTGAGATGAGGTGAAGAAAGAGGCTGAGTGCCAAGATATGAAAGCCCGTGGTCAACCACAAGGCAGGGTGTTCCTGTCCATCTAAGCTGAGCAAGATATCAGTGTCCAGATATCTGTTGTTTTTCCACTCTCCCCCCCCCTCTTTTTTCCAT